CATAGAATTCAGCAAAAGCTAACTCATATTCACCTTCTCTGTCACTTCTTATCACCTTAATCTTCTTATTTAGTTGATTTTTAACTTTATTTTATTGAGAATAAATTTCTCCATCGCTTCATCTTTACTTTTCTAAAGATACACATAACAAAATTTAGTGCTATCATCTACAAAAGTAATGAAATATTTATTTTCACCACGTGTCGTGACAACTTTTAAATCATATACATCAGTGTGAATTAAATCAAGTGGTTCTATGTTTCTTCCAATAGTTTGAAATGATAATCGTGTCAATTTCGTTTCAACACAAGTTTTACACTTATGTTTTGAATCAAATATAGAACATATGTATGCTTTTCAATTTTATTAACCTGCGCAGGGTATTATAATCAATGTTCTGAAAACCGAACCGTTCGTCGAACCGGTGAAGCTACCGGTTCCATAGTTCACTGGTCGGACCAGTGGTCAAACCGGTTTAATTAATATATAATTTTTTATTTATTTTATATGTATTATATATAATAGCATATATTTTTATCATTAATTTTATAGTATATAATGACATTTTTCTACATACAAAATAATTATATATATTTTATGTAATGATTATATATATTTTTATCATTAGTTTAATATATATAATATATAATTGTACATTTTTATCATTATCATATTAAACATTAAAGAGGTAAATATATTATGTAAAGTTTGTATATATTTTGTAAATTCTAAATATTTAATTATAATATAATATATCTTTTAGTAAATGTTTGCATTTTTTTTTAAAAAAAAATTGGCTTAAATATATTAGATTAAATCTTATAGTTTCGTCCTGGCTCGGTTGTGGGCTTTTAGTAGAGAATACTGCTGCACTTTGCATTCATATATTTAAAGATGAAAAGGGTTTATTGGGCTTTTGGCCCAGGCCCAAGCCAAAAGATTAAAAAGTGAAAGGTATAAACGGAAAAGAAGAAGAATAGAAAAGTCACAGAATCCCACATCGAAAGAATATCAAAGGCATTGAGTGTTTTTAATAAACTCAGGAGCATGGAAAGGGTGTGATGCACAGAAACCGGTCGGCCGTCCAACCGTGTCCGGTTCTCCGGTTTAACCGGTTTCTAAACGGTCCGCACGGTTTTTAAGCGGTTTTCGTGTCAAGCAGTTAAACACCTTAGACCGGATTGCTATGATGTCCGGTTCCCAGTCCAACCGGTTGAACCGGGCGGTCCGGTCCGGTTTTCAGAACAATGATTATAATTGACATGTCCTAGTTTACAATACCACACAATGCAAGACTCAAGCATATAAACGGAAGAATATCATTTTTATTAATTGTCATCATATTAAGCTTAAAAGCCCATTACATTCATAACTCTTCCCTACAAATGCTCCATCCTTGGTAAAAATGACCTTATCTGATTCAAACACCACACGAAACCATGTTTGATCAACAAAGAACCAGACAAAAGGTTCTTGCGAATTTCTGGCAGATAAAGAACATTATTAAGAGTCAACTCTTTTGCAGATGTCAACCACTTTTTTCACTCATTTGATGTCAGACGTGGCAGAATTTCACATGAAGAGTTTTTCTCCATTGACTGTCTCATCAAGGACATTAAACAAATCCTTGTTTGAGCAAACATGACGGGTACTACCCGTGTCAATCTACCATTCATGTAGATTTGAGCCAACCAGATTCACCTTGGATGTAATTGCAGCGAGGTGCATCTCATCAACATCCTTTGCCAGGTTTTTTGCCGTGTGGCCTTCTTGATCTTTTTTTGGCAACTTGCAATTAGATGCCTTATGACACAGTTAAACAAATTCCAGAATAATTTTTCTTGAAATTCCAATACTGCCTTTCCGTTATCGCCAAATTGTTTCTTATTATTTTTATGTGAGCATTCTCCATGCTCAACACCATTAGCCTTGGGAAAATGAGGGTTAACCAGTTTGTTGTCGTAACCCTTGTTGTCTTATTCAATTCGAAGTCTAACAACGAGCTCTTCAACAGTCATTTCTTTTTTCTTATGTAATAAATAATTTTTAAAATTTTTCCAACTCGGTGGCAATTTTGCAATTATGGCAGCTACCTGGAAAATTTCATTCACTACCATTCTATCGGAATGGATATCATGCAAGATTATTTGAAACTTTTGCACTTGACTAATTACAGTCTTCGAGTCAACCATCTTGTATTCCAAAAACCGGCCTACAAGAAATTTCATGGCCCCAATGTTTTCGCTTTTATATTTTTTATCCAAGGACTCCCACAGCTCCTTCGTTATTTTGATAGACCTCTACACGTTGTACATTGCATCAAACAAGCAGTTCATCGCATAATTTCTACATAAGGAATCCGAGTGATTCCATGTTTCAAGCGAAATAACGCTTGAATATCTAGATTTTCCCCGAACTTTGGAGGACTTTCCATCAAAAACCTTGCAAGGTTCAACGTAGTGAGATAAAACAACATCTTTTGTTGTCAACGCTTGAAATTCAAGTCATTAAATTTTTCCAATTTATCAGTGTGATTCACGGAAACATTTACAGAAGGAGAAAGAAAAATTGCAGTACCGGTAGTAGCACTGGTATTAGCAGCAACACCAATAATTGAATCTGTTTCAAGACTGTAGGGAACTTTAATGGAAAATTAAAATAAGATGGCTATATAATAAATACCAAGACTTGTGAGAACACTGTGTTCTTAAACCAGATTCGCCCCGTATGAGCGTCTGTATCCAAGGATACAACGGATAAATTGAAAATTCGGTGAACTAGAATTATGCCTGGACTAACACTTAAAAAAAAAGGAGAAAAAACATTTAGGAATATTGTGTTTTTCTTTCATTTAAGTTTTGACAATAAATTTGTAGTTTCAAGAATCAATCCTCATCTCAAAAATAACTATATTTGAGCTGGACTCAATGCTCTAAAATGCTAAACGTAATTAAAAGTAAAGAAAAACTTAATTAACTAACACTTAAAAGAAAAGGAGAAAAAACATTTAGGAATATTGTGTTTTTCTTTCATTTAAGTTTTGATAATAAATTTGTAGTTTCAAGAATCAATCCTCATCTCTAAAATAACTATATTTGAGCTGGACTCAATGCTCTAAAATGCTAAACGTAATTAAAAGTAAAGAAAAACTTAATTAAAATATCGACTCCGCTGGGGATCGAACCCAGAATCTCTGGTTCCGTAGACCAGCGCCTTATCCATTGGGCCACGGAGTCATTATGTACAACCATCTGTTAAAGATTTAGTTATTTGGCATGGATATCGTGAGGATAACTCTTCAATCAGCCCGAAACAATAATAACATTCATCAGTTTATCAGCTTTAAGTTAATTCTATATTCAATTATTAGTGCATGGTCCGTACGATGTACGAGACACATATTAAGTGAGTAATTTTCATAAGAATTGTACGTTTAGACACAAAAATTGTAGAGTTGGATCTTTCATTTTCTACATCATTTAATCAGTGATGTTTATTTTAGCTAGAACCGTAACATATTAATTAATATATTATTCTGTTAACACGTTATATTAATATAAATTTGATATTAGAATATATATTTATTAATTTTTATAAGAAAAAATAAAATTTTTACTTATTCTGGTTCACCATACAATACTCAATTATTTATTTGTTTATAAAATTTATTGTCATATAAGTAGTCCTTCTTATTAATTTATGTGATGAAATTTAAAATAAAATTTTAGGTACAAATGTTTACAAAATACATACATAATTTTTTTTTTTAGAATTCAAAATTTTCTCATAATAATTAAAAAAATTATTTAAAAATTAATCCCTTACATAATCTAGATATTTTTCTAATTTTCATCCTAAGGCTTTATGGTTTATTTAACATATTATAAAATAGAAATAAATTTTACAATAAATTCATTGTAGAAACAAATCAAAACAAAAAAAAAGTGATAAAAAAATTATCATGATTGACAATAATATACAAATAAATCACATGTTGAAATTTTATAGAATAATTAACTAGCAGTGGCTGTGCACAGCACAGCCGGCCCAATTTAATTGTTTGTATTAAACATGATATTAGATCAATACATGTATTTGATATTTTGGTAAAATAACTTGCATATTTGAGAATACATGGTGCATTCCCAACATCTTTATTTATTATTTTTTTTTTAATTTGTTTCTCATCTATTATTGTCAAAACATGTTAGAAGATTACAAAATGTAACATCAAAATAATAGAAGAGTTGTAAGACACACCATAGATAATACATTTTCCACACATTTTGGAACATCCAAGTGATGATAGAAGAGTTGCTTTTTTTGGCAATCATAGACTCCAAAATCTCTTTTATAGTGGAGCTAAACAAATTGCATAAATAAAGAGATGTTTGTAAATTTTGTAGATATGAATTGTTTATTTTGTATAGTGGTTTTTTTTTTCAATGGACTACCCTGACAGACATTGTGATGCGAACCAACCACTTATAAATTGAAAACAACCAATTATAACCTAATATACAAACAAATCTATTCTAAATGTCGAAAAGAGTAGGTTTGAAAGATAATAAAACTACAAATAAACAGCTACAAAACACACTTGCAGGCAAATCATGTGTGCATAATAAGCTTTGCACTTCACTACACACCACTATAGAATATTGTACACAATAATTAGATATAAATAGTTAACAAATCAGCAAAACCATTTGTTCAATTTTTACAAATGTTCTTATTCCAACAATCTGGAGTTTTCAGGCACCAAAACCATCAGTTAAGCACAACGCCTTCAAAATTCAATTGCAATGAGGAGATCAAAATTTATTTTTCCAAATTTAAAATATAAGTTTATACGAATATACAATTATATTCATGAATGCTTTAAGTAAAAATCTATTTAAGAGTAAGCATATACATTAGAAAGGTAATCGTAAAAATAAATATAATATGTTCAAGTTCATGATAATAATATATATGAATAACACAACACAAATCACGTGCGACAAAAAAAAAAATGAGATAGTCTTTATTAAAAGTCCCGGGTGAGATTTCAAATCCACCAATTATTCTTTGCCTGTCATTTATATTTAAAGGAAGTGTTGATTCAGGAACCAGTAGACAAACAGGGAATCAGAAACTGTCACACCTACCTTAATTTATTTAGCAAGGAATGGACTACAAAAATGTTATACACATAATCAAAGATAAATAAATCTAAGAGATACTCATTTTAAAGATGGACATCACTACGTACAACAGACGCATATGACTTCTTCGAAATTTGATCGTGTTTGGCACTGGATTTAACCACCACCTCTTTATCATCCCTTAACTCATCAACGGAATCGGAATCTGGAACTTCTTCTCCACCAAAGAACAAACTGTTGCCATCCTCTGACGCACTGTAAACTTCATCTGCAATGGCTGATTTCTCGGCAGAAAAATGAGTTATATTAGCTCAGAGAGCAATGGATAGGACAAGAAAAGAAAAATGTGCAGATGGGGTAGGGTTACCTGGTGTTGTGGTCGGACACACCACCACTTCACTTCCTAAAGTTGGGTTCCCGTTGACAATATCCACACATCGTAACAGGTCGCTTAAAACAAAGTAGCCATTATCTTGTGGAGCAAGAACAAAGTGTTGGGAGAAACTTTTAACTACATGGTCATGCCGCACGAGATGGCCAGTGACCAAAACATTAACTTCACCTGGAAAAGACTCCACTGAATTCACCGACTTGATCTCAGTTCTTAAGTCCCCATAGTTGAGCGAGACAATCTTCTCTTTGATGGCCTTCATGGTTAGTGAAGTCACATCAACAACAATGAAAAAGAATTTAAAGTACCAAGGAGCAATCCAAGCTCGATAGTCTAATTCAAATCAGATAACACTTCCTGAATGCATTGAATCATTAGCATCATCCAAAAGAATGGAATTAAATGTAAAACTTTCAAGAGGAAATACCAAACTTAAGAAATATGATTGTTCCATCATCTAAATTCTCTCCTTCCTCCATGTAATGTAACCTACCAAATGTACTTCAATACAAAAGAATAAACGGCCCTAGGAATAATAAAGAACAGGAAAACGGTAGTTTACTTGACAGGTAGTGGTGACACTCATGGAGCCATCTTCCTCGAAACGTTGGATGGTACTCTTGTCTTGATAGAATTTATGAGCCAACTCCGGCGAGCTATGCAGAATGGTATAGTATTTCTCTACAAATACTTCCCCAACCTACCGTCCATAAGAAATAACTCAAAGCTAGTACGAATAAAAAAATTATAATTTTGAATCCAAAAAAAAAAAAAGAAAAACTCACAATTTGTGTAAAAACTGGTTGCTGAGATCCCACAGCCGCTGCCATTTTCGGATATATAATCTTAACTTCAAGCAATCATCAACCTACAGAGATATAGACATGAGAAATAAGCTCAATAACTATCTGCGTGTAATGAAAAAAGAAGGATTAAGGATGGTGATGATCGGAGAAAATGAAAAGGAAGGATCTTTGGTGCCGGAGCTCGAATTGGGTGAAGAGGGCAAAATATGAAACCCTAGATCGAACGGGATTGAGGAAATTGTAGTGTTAGAAGCATGGTTTTGACAACCGAACTACTCATTAGTTATTAGTTCAATAGTTTATTGGTCGGACCAATGGTCAAACCAGTCAAATCGATTAATATATAATTTTTTTATTAATTTTATATTGTGTAATATATAATTATATATATTTTAATTAATTTTATATGTGTAATTAAGTTTTCTTTTTTAAAATTTTATTTTGTCAGATTATTTAAAATGTATATTAACTATTCTCTGTTATATTATTCTCTTTTATATTATTCAAAAGGATATATATATATATAGCTAACAATATTCGTCTAGTTGAAAATCAGTAAAAAAAAATTATGTGAACCATGTTAAAAAAAAAGATGTCATTGGGCCAAAAATTCTATGGAGCCATCGGATGGTTTTCTTATGGAGCCATCCATCACTTAATGTATTGACATTTGTCCAAAGTGTATTTATTGCAGGACACGTGCCAATACACTATTAGTGAATAAGTGTGGATGTCGAGCCATCCGATGGTTCCATAGCAAAACTGGTCATTGTGCCCCCATCCTTAGAAGTTTCCACACATAAAGATATCTACACATGCATTAATAAAATTGTACAGAATTCAGATAGCAAATGAGACATTTCTATATTATTCACATTAAATTTTAATTAATCTCTTCTTTTTCTTCTACAATTAATTACCATAAACCATTTTAAGTTTTCATTTTCCTACATTCTCATATATTACATTTCATTTTCTTATTGTAAGGTGTTACCATCTTAACCAAAAGTAGACATATCTTAAGTAAATAAAATGATGCTATGAAAGTTTCCTTTTTTTATTTTTTGTTCTACATTGATAATCAAATAATTACTACTAACAATAGCAATTTTTAAATTTTTTTCTGACATGAGGCTAAAAAATCTCAATTGTTAATAAACATCAGGATGTAAAAACACACAGTTAAATTTTGAATACTAAATAGAAATAGTACCGTGAACAATGTGCCAACATACAAAAAATCTCAATTGTTAATAAACATCAGGATGTAAAAACACACAGTTAAATTTTGAATACTAAATAGAAATAGTACCGTGAACAATGTGCCAACATACACAAATAAACATACGAGACATTTGCACTCTATAGCAAAGTAGATCTTTAGAGCAACTCCAACCGTACCTCAAATCCAAACGCATCACCAAAAAATCCTCCAACCGGTACCAAAACGCAGACCCAAAATGAGTTTTGATCCGTTTCTCTCTCCTCCAAACTGCATATTTGCGTTTGTACTTTTCACATACGCAAATCTTTTTTTATTTGTGTTTTGGCCCTTCTATTTTTAAAAATGAAGTTTTAGTTTATTTATCAAAATTTATGGTTTGTCTATAAGTTGTTATTTTTCTATATAAAATTATAATATAAGTATGTAAAAATTCATTAATGAAATTTTTTATATAAAATTTTAATATAAATGTATAAAAAATAATGAACAAAATATATATATTTATATATAAATATTTTGTGTAGGCATAAAGTTGATATTTTTTTAAAAATACTGAAAAATTATTTATGATAGAGCAAAATGTGTAATATATTAATATGTGATAAATAGTTTGACAAATAATATGACTATAAATAATTTTTTATTTTTTTATGCTCTAAACCATATATGGTCTAGTGTGTAAATTTGCACTAATTCATATATGGTCTAAACCATATATGGTCTAGTGTGTAAATTTGCACTAATTCATATATTTTCAAAAGTAACAGTTTTGAATCGGTACATAGATGTATATGTATCTTCTTTAAGAAATTCAATTTATTACAATTCATTTTTAAAATAAATAAAAAAATAATATATTTAATGTAAAGTAAAATATAGAGATAAGGGCTGGAGATGAATGTTCAACTCTACTCTAGAGTAGAGTAAAGTCCGCGCTAGAGTAGAGATAAGGGCTGGAAATGGCCTTAGTTTATTACATAAAGTCCAAATTGAATTGAAAATAATAGTGTGGTTTAATTTGTAAAATTGTAAAATATGTGGGTAGTATTTAAAAGTTGTAAAAGTTGATGTAAAAGAGAATATTTCGAGAATATTCTTTTGGGTTGAAGAATGAGTTTTTCGGTTGGAGATGAATTACTGCAAAATGAGATAGTTACTGCAAAATGAGTTTGAGTATGGAGTATTCGGTTGGAGATGGTCTTATGCAACAAAGCCCCACATCAAAGAACATAAAACAACACAAAACATAGAAAACAAAACTGTAAAAGATTTAATATATGCCCAAGAGATCCTCAAAAGCATAGTAACTCTTGTAAAAAATAACTCCAAAATTAAAAAGTTTTTCTAGAGCAAGACAGATAAAAATGCATATACAATCCTTAATAATTATTCAATAAATAAAAAATACCAAATTTTTATGATGGGCAAAAGGAAAATGAAATATGATGTGACAACAACTATATCGAACATCCAACGAATTAATGGCAATTAGAACATTAAATCACCAACATTCACATTATCACACAAGAAATGAACAAACACGGATGAAAAATGAACTAAATGACAGAAAACAGCCATCCGAGTTTAAAATTTTGATATAGTCAAAATTTCAGTTGGTCAATATAGCAAATAGGAGAACTCAATAATAGTTTGGTGGCAGGAAAAAAAAATGATGTTTAAGGTTTTGGAGCTATGCCCCGACTAACAAGGACTCAAACTCGAAACCTTGCTTAAGCGACATCAACCTACTTACCACTTGAGTCAAAACCCTTGTTGGTAGGCAGAGATATTTTATTTTAATGAAATTGGACGAAGAGACAAATTTGAGAGAGTGACTTAAATGTGAGGTAAAACTGTCTTCACAATCTCATAAATCTAACGTGTCAACAAAAGAAGTCTAATGAGTAATAAAATAATATAAAAAGCTACAGTAGCCCAAGTGCTTCTTATTAAATAATAGACTATAGATGTATTTTAAATTATATACCTAACCATTAGTAAAATTATTTAATGATGTGATCATTATCTCTTAAATAATAAATTATATTAATTTTCAAAAATTATTTATTTTTTTATAGTTAAATAAAGTTTAAAAAACATTATCGACAAATATTACTTTTCACCTAATTGGTTAGAAGGAGAAAATTATTTAACATTTTATGATTGTTTATAGATATTTTAGGATGAAAGTAAATATTTGTGAAAAATAAATATAATATGGTTATTATTTATAATTTGTTATATGTTGACCAAAATATTATTAACATGAATCACATAAAATTAAATTTTAGTTTATTGTAATCGATATCAATAAAATTATTGTAGAAGTTAATAAAATTATTCAAGGAAAGAATATTTTTTATCATATCTGATTTGGAAATGTGTATATGCAAGTAATTAAAGCATATAATTAAAAGTTTCCAAATAAGATACACATTAATTGTTCGCAGATTTTTTTGCTACTATTTTTAGTAAATGGTTATTCTCTTTATACTAGCGCGTAATCCGTCGTTGCACGGGATGATATTTTTTTCTGAAATGTTTAACATGTGAAAAATTAAAATTAATATAATTTATATATATGCAACAAAAATAAATGGATTGCAAAGAAGGTACAAAAAATTATAAATTATTGAATACTCTATTATACAAAACGTTTTCTTTTTAGGATAACGATTGTTCCTGGCTCTTGTTTACCGTCATTGCGTAAGAAACCATAACATCATTGTTTCATAAGTATGCGGTGTATATTGATATGGCTGCAAATGACGACGTTTATCAAGTAGAATGGTTCCTTGCATTAACAGTACGTGTTGATCTTGTAAAACATTGCATGTATATATCATGAAATAAATGTTGTATAATAAATATATACCAAATGAATATATATCACTTAAATAAAATGTTTGCTAGAGAACCGGTCAACACCGGTCGGTCAGACTGGTAGTAACGGTACGATTTTTTTAAATAAATTTTGTTACATTTAAGACTATTTTTAATATAAGTAAAAATACATATTTAAATAAAGTGAACATTTATAAACAATTTATCAGTTAGTTAAACATTGAAAAATTTTAAATTGTTCATATATTTAATTAATATTTTTTAATAAATTTATTATAAAAAGTACTATATATATTAAAATATTAATAATTAAAATTCTGATGCAACTAATAAATCATTGAAGAAATAACTTGATCGTTTTGAAAACGGTTCTCTCCTGAGAACTTTGAATTTAACGTATATTAATAAAGTTGCAATGCAACATCATTTTGTTCACATAAGTATTAATAAAATAAAATATAACTTTTCATAATTCCCTACATGTTGTCACAAAAGCAGTCTTAATATGATTATTTGGAGTATGAACTACATTACATTTATTTTAATAATGTATTTTTAATATTAAAAATTATATTTAGTTTAATAATCAATTTGGTCTGGTCAAACTGACCCATAACTTGGTCACTCAGGATCAACCTCAGTTGTGTCATTTACACATAACTCGATCACCCGGGATCGATTTAGTGTATATCTGCTCAAGTTTTAGAACATCCGATATTAATTGAGCATAGCATTCATTTATATAAGTGAATATAAATTTCCTATACTATATAGATCATTTGCACGGATAATTTATATACATTATTAGATTAGTTAAAAAAGCATTTGATATTTATTTGTTTATCAAATAAAGAATATCAATGCTATAGATACTTTAAGATTCGATATGCACATTGTTTATTAGTTAAAGAATTTTAATGTATTGCCCGTAAATTTACATATTTAATTATACATATGCATATTTAGGACCCTACACATTTAAAATCATATTTCAAAAGATTCAAAATTATTTAAGTAACCAGAAACTACGATTATATATTAATTACATAAATGAGAGCAATTATTAATTAGGACAATTTTTGTCAAGAATATTCAATGCAATTTTCGATTAGCAAAATCGTATATTTATATTAAATAAATAATATTTCTGTTAAAATTAGATTTTTAAATAATGTCTTCATAAAAAGTGCGATTT